CCGATGAACTACCTGTGCTAATTGAAGAACTGCTAGTACCACTTGACATAGAGCAATCGGATATTAGCGAATTCGGACGTCGGGCTTTATTGTGGTCTGAACCAGTACTGCTTGCGAAAGAATGACGCAGTTTTGGTGCTAATTAAAAAAGTTCAAAACAATTCATTATTATCTATAGAAATACTTAATCTCATGCTGGATATATAGAAATAATATCTACATACATGTTTAGTGTTTATAATATATATTACCTTTTCCTAATTGTGTTAAAGTAATCGAACGATCACTTATTTGGTTATTACTGGGGCGTATGTCCAAGCAAGGTTTACTACCGATGCCCATTGAAGACATTTCAGCAAGGCGAATTTCTAAAAAATAGATAATAATTATATTATAAATAATTATAATATGATTGTACGATATAATAATATTCTATCATATATCATACTATATTAATTCTATAATTATATTATAATTAACCTTTCAAAAATTTTTTTATTTTTACTCTAGACCCTTAAATATTTTGTAGTTATTATTTTATTTATCTGCCACAAAATAACGTCTTGGTTTGTACTGCAGGTGACTACATAGGATCATATCTGTTTTTGTATATTAGAAGCGATTATATACCACAGCCTAAAATCGGATTATGGTGGAATAGTTTTTGAATGGTTGGTTGGTTTTAATAGCGGCAAAATCGAACACAAGCTATGTGCATGTAGCGCATAGACGCCGTTTTATTACCATAAATTTGGCCTTGAAAATCTCAGCATTAAAATCAATTTGGGTGGTTGATAAAGGAAATTTTTTTTTAAAAGATCTATGTTTGGGATCCATCAAGCTTATTAGTTTATAAAGTTCCATTGCGCAATGCCTTAAATTTGCTTGACTTGGTTTTCGATATTTATTCATTGAACTAACTGGATTTTATGATAGGCTAACTCGAGTTCAAAATACCGGTCTAAGGTCCTTAGCTCTGTCAATTAGAGATATAGTTGTTATGGTCGTAGTCTTATTGATTGCTACGAGTTCTCACAACGTACAGAGAAAATCTAATTCCCTTAGCTATTCGTTTCATCCTAAATCTCTGACTCATTAACTAAAAATTTTAGTTCCACTGTCAATTTAAGAAATATAAAATAAGAGGATTTAGATTCTCTTAAAACTTTTATTCCAGTTTTCGAGAGTGTCAAAGAGAAACAAAAAAAAAAAGAAAATATAATAAATCTGGGATTAATGTTACCTCGATTTCTTTTCGCCTGTTTCCAAAGTAATTTTGAAATCTCTTCAGTCCAAGCATTTTTGATATCCTCTGACATACATTGTAATGTCCAAGTATCTTCAGGTTTACGTTTTCTGAACCAAATTTCAAATTTCGTTGGGGAATCTCCGACATGCGCAGTTAATCCAATATCTGAAGTTTTTATGCTGTTTTTATATAAGTAAATATCAAGGTTCTGTAAAAGTAAAAGAAATATATTATATTTTAAAGACATGTTTATTCCATTATAAAAAATTAGGTCGGAATTATATGAAACCCTTCATTTTGACTCTTTTACATTAAAACAGGTTTAATATATTAGGTTCAACTGAAATAAAATAATATATAATATTATATCCACCTTATGATCTGGAAACCGCCTTGCTTTACTAAACAGCACCAAGTCTTCAAATAAAAATATATGCCTCAAAGTCTTTTTACCACCACGACCCTGCCAAACTAAAAATTCATTTTGTCTTAGCAAACGTCCTTGTTCTTTGACATTAACATCACAGTCACGCAATGAATCCATAGCCAATAAATCATTGCCATGCCGCAACTGAAATTTTACCATCTCTTCAGCTCGTTGCAGTTCTTCAACATCAGCAGCGATATCTTGCAATGCGGTACCCTAAAAGAGACATATCAGTAGTTTTTGTTATTTTAGACTATGATATATAAGTTATGGAACCTAGATCTTACCTCTACAGCACTGCAAGCTTTAACCAGTTGTTGAAGTAGTAATGCATATTTGCCCATACGTTGTACCGGTTTCAGTAAGTATGAAGCCAAATCCATTTTATCGGTTAGTTCAAATTGTTTTGTCTATAAGGTATAAGATATATTGTGAATGAATTTAGAAATATGTATGGATATATTTATTTATGTATTATATAAAGGGGAATGAGACTTTTTTTTATTAAATCCTTTAAGAACGTTATATTAATAAAAAAAAATTAAAATAGTAGCCACGACTCACAGATATTTTGTATATATTATTGTTTTTAGGAAAAGAAATAATAGATTTTCGGTACATCACCTAATACCTATGCTTTCAACAAAATTTTAAATGAATAAATGTTGTTGTTGTATAACATTTCTTGACCTGATTTCTCTGACCCTGTTAAGAGGTATTTGTATATTTAAAAAGTCGAGAAGCTTTGGTACATAAACCCAACTGCTCCAGAATATCCAAGAATAAAAAAGTGTGTTTGGAAGCCGTCAACCACAACATTTTAAACGATTTCAAAAAAGGACACTTAAACTAAAAAAATGGAATAATTTTGATATTATACCTATATTTTGAAGATAAACAAAATTATTAATAATGGGAATTATGCCCTGTGATCTTGAAAATTTTTTCTATTCCCTTAATGGGTTCAGATTATTCATTTACCCAATAAATATCAGTGTATCGAACGTAAATTGTCGAGTCTTATTACTTTATCTAATTTTAGATGGACACCCAAAGATTTCTTTCTTTTGTTCAAAGGACGCTCTTAGAAAACAAATGTATATATATATATATATATATATATATATATGTATATATATATATGTATTTATTTATATAGCAACAATTATATTTATAGTTACCTTAAAGAATGTTGTACCATATTCACTCATTAGAGTATCACTTTTTGGTTTATTTTTGTTGTACAAAGCATATAAGTAAAATTTCGATTCCATTTCAAGAAATGCTGCGCCCACCTTCAGAGGATTACGTTCGTAGCGCTCTAATTCGCTGAGGAAGTGTGAGTTATGAAATTCGAATATTTTTTCAATATTACCAAAAATAACGTTACGTTGACCACGTAACGGCTGTGGTATATCATCGCGTAACAGTTCGTCCACATAATTCTCAATGACATAGTACAGAGAACGTACGTAATCGCGTTCCGTACCAATCATTTCACGTATGATTAATAGAAGCGTTCTGTAAATTGATAACGATAAAAATAATTGAGAGAATATAGTCTGACTAGTATAAGCGACTAGTATAAACATTATTACTTTTGTATTTTTTGATCTAAGCAGCTGTGTTCTTCCATTTTAGGTAATTCCAAATTTGAAGCGAAACATTGTAAATGAGCATTCGCCTCAACCGGCGAATGTATGTCGAAGTATGGTTTCGGTGGACGTTCGTAGCAATCATCATCCAAATCATCATTATGACTAATAGAGTAAATAAGAATTATATAAATTTGATTTTATCACATAAATACATTATAATTCACCTCTTATCGCAGAAATTGCTTACTTCATGTAAGCTTTGACAAGAACAAATACGCGCTAACTTTGTATTTCCCTCGCAACGTTCACAACCGCCCAAACCTGAATCGGCAATTTTTGATTGCTCTTCCTCACCATCTTCACAGTCATCGTCACCATCCAATAGCTCATCCATATCACCCAAATTACGACTTTCACGCCAACATTCACATGGCGTACCCTCAAACGAACCAATGCCAGAGCTAATTCTGTGATTGGCGAAGTTTGCTTGCTTTTGTGCTGCGGGTGTACTGGTGAGGAAAAGACTGTAGGTTTTAGTTCTTCGACGACTACAGTTTAAGTTGAGACTATTTGGTTTAACTCTGCTTATATTTTCTGATATTGTTGCTGTGTTTTGTTGTTGCTGGTGTTCTTGTTGTTGTTTGTATATATGATATTTTTCTAGTAAGCCAGGTACTCCTATATGCTCCATCAAGCGTTGTAATTCTTGCTCAACATTTTCGTCACGTAAATTTTGGTTTAATAGTTGATGAAGACGTGTTGCACCTTCAATACGTTCCCGTGCCTGCTCCAGTTTGTCAGCAAAACAGTCTAAAGCCACTTTAAGGTTCATTGCACTATCATGCAAGGCTTCCATTTTTTCAGCTGCCTCATGTAAGTCACGACCTTTTGCCAAGTGTTTCTGTTTATTGAAATTTATTTTATGATTTCGCATTATCAGTGAAAAAGTGTTAAGCTGTTAAATAATATTTAATATTATTATTTGTATACTTACCATTGAGATAAAGTAGAATTTTTCGAATTCCTGTTCGCTATCTTTCACTGGAGTCTCGCAGTCTAGCTGGAAATTTGCAAATCTCTGTAATGTTTCATTCCCGTCGCTGGTGATCCATGAAGTCACCTTAAAAATAAAAAATATGTAAAAATATTAATTTATTTTATTTGCAATTTTTTATACAAATTACTTAATATTATTAAATAATAAGTTGTTCATGTAGTTTGGACTACTATGAATCAAATGAATGAGTCTTACAGTAGACCCAGCTATATACTGTATAAGTCTATTGCGTTCTTATAAGTATTTATATATATGTGTAAACAGTTTATATAATATATGTAAGAAGAATAGAACTTGATTCATTTGCATTGAATGTGGTATCTTCATATTCTATCAATCAATACATCATTGACAAAATAGAAATGAACCATATTATGAAACTACTCCATACTTAGAATGGAATACTTTATTGTAATTAATACTCATAAATTTTGAGACCAAATGGTATAAGTGATTCGAACTAAAAGTAATAAAACATTTAATCAAAAAAAATATAATTGAAATTATTATCACAATTAAGTGATAAATCGTTAGTATACAATTTTCAATACACAGTCATTTAGAAGAGATTTAGAAAACAGGACTCTCAGGAAGATATGCTGATTTAAGGTCCGTTCTCAATTAAAAGACATATAAATTTCTTAGCCTAGTTAAAGCCTAGTGTGGGGTAGAGATAGGCCCCCCAGCCATTATAGAGTAAAAGTGCGTAATAGCACTAACTCAAGAAGAAGAATCAAGAAGAAGAAGAAAACAAGTTTTAAATTTTAGACGATTACAGTTTCCTAGGCGCAGTGATTTAACTTTTGAATTTGGTGAAATTCCAAAAACTTTTTTTCCTGCATTATATGCTGATATAGATTATAATTTTAACATCAAACAACTGCTCTTTCATGGATGTGAGACGTGGATACACAGTACCGTCATCGACACATGCCTATAAACTTTTTCAAACAAATGCTTGCGTCAAATTCTTAACAACTGGTGGTCTAATTGTATCAGCAATGCTGATCTTTGGGGTGTCATCAACCAACTACCAACCTCTGAAAGAGTATGCATGCATAAATAGCGTTGGAATCCGTTGGGAAGTAGATGTCTGCTAGAACATGGCTGTCGATGAAGAATTGCAAGCAGAAAATTATTCTCGAAATGACATCAATTGATTTGCACTAGATATAAATTATTAATGTAAAAAATTTACAACTTCAATCTTCGATATTTTGAGAAGCAAGGTATATCGAGCTCAAAAGCCAAAACCAAAGAACGGCTAGTGTTGAATAGCAAACGCATTGGGCTTGTTACAAGGTTCTCACTGAACATTATGAAGTTAAGAAGTATTTATCGAATTTAGAGATCATAGGGGACGATAGCTACAGGCTTTGTGACGAAGAAGAGAAAACGGAATAACACATTTTGGGTCACTGTGATAGTCTCGCTATACTCAGACTTCGGCACTTATTAACTGCTTATCCACTTATAACAGAACCCTGCTCTAAAGATATTGATTAGGTAGGGTATAAGGTGCGTTAGAGTGTTGGAAATTCCCCGTTTGCATCAGCGGCCTTGAAAGGAGAGAATGAGTTATACGTTCTTTCAATTTTACCCTCTGTGAAGATTTTACGAACAGTCTTTCAGTCATTGGTCCTGGGTCTTTTAGCCTCCAGGAAACTGAGCTGAGAGTTTGATTGGTCGTTAATTGTGGATCCCGGGAAGTGTACTTCTGTTAGAAGTATAAGTGACTTTTTGCAGTCATTGGTATAAAGACCATCTGGTCGTTTCAGAACCCCAATGGGGTTAGTGTGATAGCCTGTGGATTTTAGCGCTACTGCTTAAGTTGTGAATCTCTGAGCAGAAGCTTCTGCATGATTCTGTTTTTGCCGATAATGATATTTCAAATAACAATGAAGATTAAGCTTAAGGCCTGTGCCGCTATAGTTTTAATTAATTAATATAAGTTAATTGTATCTTAATATGCTATGTTATTTCTGAATAAAATAATAAAATAAAACTGATGTTCTTAAAAACAAACAAACATTACTGAATATATAAAACCATTATGCTTCAAAAAAATTGTTTTTAACTGCAAAACAAAGTTGTTTTGCTTAGTTTTAATTTTTTAAAAAATTTTTTAGGAATAAAAAAGGTCCAGAAATTAGAACTTCCTGCTAATTCTCGAACTAACCGAAAAACCAAGTGGTTCTAATTTATGATCATCTACTGTATTAATAATTTTTATTTTTTTAGAGTCTGAACATCAATTAAATGTTATATTAATTTCTTTTATTCCATTTTGTCATCTGTAAAATTCATAATATAAACTAAATATCTTGATAGGTAGTAAATTTGCTTTGAAATATATCGGGAGCTGGCATTTCTTTTTTCTTAAAATTTAATTCAATTTAAAAAATTTAAAGTTTGTTTAATATTTTAATTTAAATAAATTTAATCATTTATAATAGTATACATTACTAATTCAAATATACATCTCAAAAATTGTAAAATTTAATTCCATATTCTTCGCATTAATAAATAAATAATAATAAGCTTACGTTAGTATATAGGATTGGTACAATAAAACAAACTTGTTAAGATATTTTAATCACGTCGAGTAATTTCGATTTATTAACTATTTAACTGATTAATTTTATACTTTAACCATAAACCACCTTTAAACTTCATGAGTAATATTAAATAATATTAAAGTTTTTTTTTATTAATATTTTTTTAATACTTTTTCGGCCGAACCCACATTAGTAAAATAAATAATTCTTTAAAAATCTTAACTCAAGTAATTATCGTGTCTTATTCACACACATGTGAGTAGTTGGACATAAATGTCAAAATTTTTTAATTAAAATATATTGAATTTTAATAATTTTTTTTTTGAAATTTATAGGCATAAAACACGGTCAGGGTTGCACAGTACTTTTGCAAAATGCAGTTAATGGAAAGAAATAGTTAATACCCGATATATATACTTCACATATGTCTGTAAATTTAGTTCAGCAGAGATTGTAAAATAAGTGCGATTTGATATTTAGTTAAGATTCATTTTGCAGATAATTTTACTTTTTAAAATTAAATATAATGTACTTTAATGAATTTGCTCTGAAATAATTTTCCTTGAATTTTTTTTTGGTTGAAATTAATTCATTTAACCTTTCTAAAATTTTAAGTAAAGAAATATGCTTCAGTAATTAATTAAATATTTTGAATTATTGTACATAGGTAGGAAACGAGTGCCAAAATATCACAGTAGGTGATTGGTTTCCATATGTGGTGTATCTTTCTATATTATACAAATCTTATAAAGATCCATAAATAAAAAAACTATTTGTGATTAAATTAATATAGATGTATAGGCATATTTTACTTGATTTAAATAAAAAAAAATTTTTTTATTTTGTTTGATATAGATTTTTTGTCACTGGACTATAATAATTTTTAAATTAAAACATAGCGTAATATTTGCATTAAATACAAAATTATATTTGATTTTAAAGCTGATTTTATATATCTTAATAACAGCCAACTAAAACCATCCCATTGGCTTGTGTGACTTTAGATTCAAACACTAAATCTGGGCTTTCAATTCAATTTGTTAACGATTATCATTTCAACATTAATACATAAAATCAGTAATCAATATGAAAATCTTCTTGTAATCAATATGTGGCTTACTTCTGTCTAAATGACCAAATAAGCAATACTATATACTAGATAGATTGATAAATACCCAGCCTAAGTAGAATAAATATGCTTCAATGTAGTTCTCTTTTAACTCGATACACCGAATCTTAGGATCTTTCAACATTTGGATACCTTTCAAATAATACGATTTATCAAGTCTTCCAAATTATACCTCAGTTCCCATTCCACTTTATCATTTGATGCAACTCTTTCCCACATCCATTTTGCAAAAAGCTTTTTCATACCCAAATATATGTTTGTCATCTCTGCTATATCTCAAGCAACTTAATTTTTGAATCATCAAACAATATATTGTGGATTTTAGTTTCAATGTTTTTTTCAGTTGTGACCTTTTTTTGAATCTACTGATCCAACTGATATGATACCCAGTGAACATATTTTACACAAAAATGTACTAAAACTAGTATGGACCTATTTATTTTCAATTGAATGCTCGTTTTGGTTGTTAAATGGATAGCAGATAAAACTGGTTGACAGGAACCAAATTTATTATTATTTAAAGTGTAGACGTAAAAATTGCCCAAGAGCCGGTACTATAGCCAGAATAGTTCTATTGTACCAATTTCACTACTGATTACACAAAGCTCTTTAAAGCTTTGTAATCAAAATCGAGAACTGAATCTAGAGAAGAGTTCTTAATCTGTTCTGTTGACAGAGATTTCACATGAAACAAGTTTCTTCTGTGAGTTACTAAAGCTGGACAGCCACAAAGAATATGCATAGAGTTTCCACATTTTCGAGGCATAATCTGCCTTCCGAATTAGCAGATAATTGTAGTTTATGAAGGTGATATTTCAGGCCATAATGATCTGTAATGAAACCCGTTATCAACCTTAAATTATATTTTGAGTGCGTTGCTCTGTCTGAGTCCTGGTAAGTTTTCCCAGTATTCCAGCCGCATATGATTTTCTCTTTCCTTGATAATCTGTTTTGTACTGACCCAGTTTATTGCACAAAAGGGGAAAGGGACCATATATAGCAGTTAGTGCGGGTACATATCACTTAAGACATAGTTATTGGTAGCAAATTTTCATAGATAGTTACACCCAGTATCAGGAATGAAGTTGATTCTCTTAGTTTAACTTGGTAGAAACAGAAGAGATGATCTAGAGTTTTCTTAATCTTCACTTTCATTTTTTAGTGTATAATAATTTTTATCAATAAATAATTAATATTTTTATATCATTAAACAAATATGTGCATAAATGAATTAAAATAAATTAATTTTTTAATAAGAAGATTTATCTATAAGTTGCTTTGGTTATGACAAAAACAAAAATGATAATTCATAGCTACAAATTGTATATTTTTAATGAAAGTATTTATGCGGCGGTCCTTCTTTTCTTGTGAAATTC